TGTCTTGTCAGTGTCTGCAGTCCTGGATTGTCTTGTCTGTGTCTGCAGTCCTGGATTGTCTTGTCTGTGTCCTGCAGTCCTGGATTGTCTTGCCAGTGTCCGCAGTCCTGGATTGTCTTGTCAGTGTCTGCAGTCCTGGATTGTCTTGTCTGTGTCTGCAGTCCTGGATTGTCTTGCCAGTGTCCGCAGTCCTGGATTGTCTTGCCAGTGTCTGCAGTCCTGGGTTGTCTTGTCAGTGTCTGCAGTCCTGGGTTGTCTTGTCAGTGTCTGCAGTCCTGGGTTGTCTTGCCAGTGCCTGCAGTCCTGGATTGTCTTGTCTGTGTCTGCAGTCCTGGATTGTCTTGTCTGTGTCTGTAGTCCTGGATTGTCTTGTCTTGTCAGTGTCTGCAGTCCTGGATTGTCTTGCAAGTGTTTGCAGTCCTGGGTTGTCTTGTCAGTGTCTGCAGTCCTGGATTGTCTTGCAAGTTTTTGCAGTCCTGGGTTGTCTTGTCAGTGTCTGCAGTCCTGGATTGTCTTGTCAGTGTCTGCAGTCCTAGATTGTCTTGTCTGTGTTTGCAGTCTTGGACTGTCTTGTCAGTGTCTGCAGTCCTGGGTTGTCTTGCAAGTGTTTGCAGTCCTGGGTTGTCCTGTCAGTGTCTGCAGTCCTTAATTGTCTTGCCAGTGCCTGCAGTCCTAGATTGTCTTGTCTGTGTCTGTAGTCTTGGACTGTCTTGTCAGTGCCTGCAGTTCTGGATTGTCTTGTCTGTGCCTGCAGTCCTGGATTGTCTTGCCAGTGCCTGCAGTCCTGGATTGTCTTGTCTGTGTTTGCAGTCTTGGACTGTCTTGTCAGTGTCTGCAGTCCTGGGTTGTCTTGCCAGTGCCTGCAGTCCTGGATTGTCTTGTCTGTGTCTGTAGTCCTGGATTGTCTTGTCTTGTCAGTGTCTGCAGTCCTGGATTGTCTTGCAAGTGTTTGCAGTCCTGGGTTGTCTTGTCAGTGTCTGCAGTCCTGGATTGTCTTGTCAGTGTCTGCAGTCCTGGGTTGTCTTGAATAAAAAATTATGATGGCAATGCATACAGTAGTTTCATTTTCTGCTTCAGTTACATTACAGCATATTAAGATAAGTAAATAAGTAAATAATATTGCTACAATGTTTCTGTTCTTATCTTGGTTACTTATATGTAGTTTGGACATGATTTTTCATCATCTTCTATTTTCTTGTCCAATGTGGTGTAAATTATGGTAAAATCATTGTCATTTCAAGTCTCATCACGTAACTGTGAATCATCGAACATAAAATGGGGACTAAAGATATTAAAGCATTCAACATGCAGTGGTGAGTTTAATGTTCAGTTACATGCTGCAGGATAACTGAACAGCATGCACCGAGAGAGATAGAGAGATGTATTTATTTTGTTTTCAAACAAACATAAGATGAAGCTCTTAAAATTTGGTGTCATTTTAACATATAATTTCATGGATCATTCACATTGTAGAATGAAACTGTATTTTACTAGACATGTTGAATTCCTTTATGTCATTAAATTATAAGACCAAGACATTAAATGTCTATATATATTAACATAGGAAATCTGCAGTGGTTTATTTGCATCTCATAAGCATGCACTTTATATAACTTATCAATTGATGAGTTTTGAGTTATAATGTTATCAATAGGTTTTTGTGCGAGGATGGGGGATTGATTCCTTGCTCACTCAATTTCTTCGCTGGTTTCCCTGGTTCCCAGCGTTCTAATGAGCTTTCGAACATCAAAACGATGAAATCAACCCTCCTACGCAGACGAAATTTGATCGTTTTTACAGCAGAGCGTGAAAGTTTATAAGGTACTGGCAGAACTTGAAACTTGTCTCTATGCCATCATATACATGCAGGTTGCAATAAAGAAGAAAGATTTTAGGACTTGGTCTCAGGTGGTGCTGTTCGTATGCTGTTGTGTACAATATAGGTACTGCTACATATACATGTATGTGTGACCAATTTTGGGGATGCCACATGCTACAAAATAAATTGTCTTGTGTATGTACTAAGTATATCACATGTCTGTTTAAACTCATCTTTGTTTTCTGTTCACTATTTCAAATTATTTACTGTATCACTGTACTTTTTTGGTGAATCTGCAGATTGTCTTTGGATGCTGCAATTTGACAACAGTATAATAGAATCTGTGACGTCAATTATGTTGTTTTTTCTCACCTAATATGCTCTTGACTTTAACTTGAATACAGCATATTGTTGGCCTTCAGGTGTGAATGTTTCATTAATCAAGTTATTTGGTCATTTTGTGTAATTTACCTCAATCTAAAATACATGAGTATTTATAATTCACAAACGTCTCCATATTATTATAATAACAGATGTGTACTTATGTCAGCAATAGAGTTTCGAACTTTCGGGGAACGCCACATTGGGTGTAACTATTACCATGGAAATGATATAGTTGGATTGAAAGGACGGAATTTAGCTTTCGCGAATTTTTGTTAAATGTGAAAAATAAGTCTTTCGCAATATTGGTTCCGTTTATTAGATTATGACATTTGTACATGCATTTTATAGAATTGTGTATGGGGAGCTGGGAACAGGTACCTGTCTACCACATACACCACATAGAAATATTGAAAAATAAAATCATTTTGTAGCTAATAATCATTGTATAAAGTATTATTAGATCATATTGCTTTTAACCAACCTTGTCTACTTCACAATTCTAGATATCTAATTATTTTGCTTTATTTAATTTATTTCTCATTCAATGTGTCCCTTTCTGCAAGCCCAATAGAATACTAATTTTCTTTCCAGCATTGCCTTCATTACCATAATTAACCTGTGACTGTACAAGTTATTAGGAAATCATTTCTTCAGATTTATGGCAACACTGAAATGTTCCCAGCATGCCTTGTGCTGTATTTCTTCTATTAGAAGCACATATATGCTGAAAATTGAATTATTTTAGCTGTATTAGTGGCATAACCATGTAAAACAATATATCTTGGGCTTCTTGTCTTTGTCTGACCAGTTACATCTAAGAATTCTTCATCAAAAATAATTTTTATTCATAAATCAAGCATTTGAAGCCTTCGAATAAGCAAAGAAAATGTTGTAATAAATGGCTCCAAACAAACACACCCAAGATGTTGCATTAAGGCATGTGCTTCTAATACAATATTAATTAATGTGAATCTGAGTACAACAACTTCTGGGTATACATGTACTGTATACCTTAATAACAATTTACACGGTACTTACTTAAATGTCTTTGGTATTTGAGCATTTTGTACTATTATAAATTTGTGTTTTTAGTGGCAATCACGACAAAGCAGATACTCATTAACCTTTTGGATGTGTATATTTTCTCACCATCCTTACTGTGCAGCATTTGTAATGTATTTTATAATATTACTTTGTGTTAATGTCGCACTAAGTGTCTGCAGATCTTAATCAAAATTATGTGGGGTTTATTTTGTAAAAATTGACAAAACTTGACTTTAGCGATCGAAAAGGTTGTAAAAGGGGTAAAAGGCAAGGGTTTGACATTTGAATTCAAATTGCAATAAGACAATATTTTGAGTAATGTCAAATAATGGTTGCATTCATGTAGAACAGCTTCTGTGCAGGATAAAATAGTTTTATCAGTGGGTGGCTAAATACTACCAACTAGTCACTTTGCAAATGTCACGATAGCATTACGAAAAATAACAATATTGTTCAGATTCATGTAGCAAATTGAAGTGTGCTATTATCCAGCATGCTTTTCTGATACCATATTTATTCTATTATAAATTTATCTCCAATAGAAACCAAAAAATTACATATATAAATATATTGATTGATTGCTGGATCATTACAATATGACTCATTTTGACGCAAATCTGTAATTTACGAACAAATGCAGTATTACATGATCATTTATGCTTTGAAATGACTATTAGTCATTTTAAGTCAAAGTGATAAATTTTTGTCAAAATCTAAATGCAAGTCGCCATTGGCTACAGATAAAGCGTTAGTAAAAACACAAAAGGCTGACATATTGTACTTGTATATTGCGATGTAAAATGTTTCTAATGTACATAAATTAAATTCAAAATTGCTCTCAAGGTTAAACAAACAACATCTCATAAATATAGCTTTGTGACCATCTTGATAAAAATAAAATGTAATTATTATCTTTCTAATAACTGTAATCCTGTCTAAAAAACAACTGCTTGTAAACGCAATATTTCAACGCCTCACAACCACTGGGATGGCATGCTATGTGGTTTGACATGTCCATTGATCCGACTGCCTCCTACACAGTTTGGTTGTGTCTGCTAGCTTTCACATTTCAATCACTGTGCTTAGCTCGACTCATTCTTCTCTTGATGCATTCTGGGAAATCATTGTGACATTCAGTCTTCCATGGCCACGGTGATGCCTTGCTCTTCTGGGCAGTTACTTCATGGTGATTTGGTTCACTTGTTAAATTCTCTCTTTCCAGGTAAGCTTGTACATATCAAGGGGGGGGATCATTTTAACTGTTGTGACATATTGAAAAGATAGCTTAAAATACCGTGCAAGGATTAAGCCATCGCTAAAATACATTCTTATATAGGTCAGGGTTTGTTGCTGAGCATCGGTGAAAAAAATAATATCACCATTTTAATTTGTAAATTTGTCATTGAAGTCAAATTTATAAATCAATGTTGTTTCCATCCTGTCTATCAATTTTAAAATCAGTCGTGGTAAAAACGAGTGCATGTAGTGTGCTTCTACCGCATTGTATAACATTGTCAGTGTCTTAATAGAATAGCATTAAATCTGTGTAGTGTATCTCCCCCAAACATTAGATCTGTGTATACAATTAAGCACTTGCACTTGACATGTATTGATAGATGACATACCCAAAATTTTAATTGTGAGTTTTTATGTTGATATTTGAGTCTTGCGCTTCATCAGTTAACCTTCTGACTGTGGCAAGCCATGTTGATCACTCGGAGATAATATCATTAATTTCTCTCCAAAATAACCCATTTTATGCCCCAGTTGAAGAGGCTGCAGTATTATTTTGAATTTCAAAATTTCTCCGTGAAGATGATATAGCGATGGTTATGCTTAATGAATTCTTGGGTGTATTTTTGCAGGTTTAATATTACATGTGATGTGGTATGACACGAATTTTGAATATTCATGAGTTGAAATCACAGGGATGAAGAGCCATCTCTCATATGATAGATCCCTCCTCCAACACTGTTTAAATGTGACAGAATCCTTTTTTTAGCTCTGCTGTCGACAAAATCATATTACTGATTGTGCATTGCCGTCTGTCATCCGTTGCCCGTTGGTGTCATCTTTCTATTTTTGACTTCTTAAATAATGTCAGCTATATGGGGGGTCGGAATCACTTCAAATGTACCTTGGGTGCTTCTCTCTCAGATGATACCTTCAATGTTTCAAAATGCTATTTTTGACTTCTTCTTGAAAATGGCTATCCCAATTGCTTTCAAATTGATATTTTGTATATACCGGAACCCTCAATTCAATCAATAATATTGTCATTTTGGTAAAGATGCTGTTTTTGACTTTATGTAGATACATGTACCTTGAGCTGAACATTTTGTGATGATCTTTGATTATCTAATTTTTGTGTTTTTGGTGAAAAATGGTATTTTTTTGAAAACTGCTTGCTCAGTTGTTTTAATATTTTTTACGCAGCACTTCAGGTGAACTTCTCGTAGATTTGTTGAATTCATGACGATAATTGAGTTATCTAATTTTAGCGAATATTTTTATCATTTTTGGTTAAAAAAAAACAAAAAACTATTTCTAACGTCTTTTTATAGAAACATATTGGTAGCTTGGATTGACCACTGGCAAACTTGTTTGGTTCATTCCTCTATCAGATTAATTTATTTAGCGCCGATAATTTCCTCCTTTCAGTTAATATTCTTTCAGTTGTCT